ATGTATGTATGTACATATAAACATATTTTTGTTTGCATGCCTTACTTGGCTGTTTGAACTCCGGGCTTGAATCCATTCAATCAAACTGTAATAAAGATTTATATACAGCGTTTGCCAAAAGTATTAGGCACCCACCCCACTGTGGCTATCAAAGTTACCACTTCTTTTTGTAAATGTCTTACATGGGTGTTTAACTGTTTATTAAACGAATAAATTGTGTAATATTAAAAGACATAGCACTCTGGGTAAGCTAAACCTAAAAATTGTTATTTTTAAGAAATTCATAAAATATTTCCGCATTTAAAATTTGAAAGTGAAATTGTAAATTACATTTACTGAAAAGTTACCATTCATATAAAAACAGTTCATATTTACAGAAATGCCCAAAAAGGGGAAATTAGTTACGATGATAGAGTTAGAATTCAAGTTCTAAGTGAAGAAGATAAGCCTCAGGTTGAGATTGCCAATTTGGTGGAATGTTCGCGGAGCGTCGCAAAAAATCTTCTTCTGCCCTTTCGGAGGAAGTTAGTAAACCAGTTAGTGCTCACAGCTAGAAGAAGACTTCTGGAAGCAGGCTTAAAAGGATGTAAAGCCCGAAAGAAGCCGTGGCTCTTAGAAAAGTTTAGGAAAAATCGTTTGGAATGGGCTCGCCGATACCAACATTTCACGGAATAAGATTGATCGAATGTTCTGTGATCTGATGAATCAAATTTCGAGGTAAGCATAGTTAAGATCGTCTTAAGGTATTAACAGCCATAGCTTGTTACCCTAGAGCAATTTTGAAAACATAATACAAATCTTATGAAAACATTATTTTTTCTTTTGTATAGATATTTGGAACACCTGACGTATGACGTTCATGAGGCGATGGGGTGAGGAAGAATATCATCCAGATTGCGTGGTACCCACTGTTAAGCAAGGAAGAGGCAGCATTACGATCGGGAGCTGCATGGGTGCTGATGGTGTCGACGAAATGTTTGTTTGTGGGGGTCACATGGACAGCCAAATGTACATAAAAGTAGTAGAAGCTGTTCTTATGCCTTCGTTAACGCGCATTTTCGGCGATACTAATTTAGACCGTTATTAAATCGAAGGGCGGACCTACTAAGTATTAATGTTATTATCACTAATTCATTGTATTTTCACTGTTTTACTAATAAAACTTCATTACTTCACTTGTTAAAACGAAAAATGAAGTAATTAATGGGGTGCCTAATACTTTTGGCGGAGCCTGTATTTATTTTGGTATTACAATACATAAAAGAAACTGCAACAATATGCATAATGCATGCACCTTCTTATAGATGTATGTATGTATGTGGACTATTTACATTATTTCTTGGCTTTTCGCTATTTGAACTTTGGTACTGTGCCGGAGTCAATCAATCAGTCTGATATAAAGAATTAAGTTATTATTTATAGGGAATATTGTAAAATAAAGTGTATACCCACATCTCTTTCTAAAATACTACGTTATCAAATTGGAAACTGTCAGATGGGAACGAAAAAAAGTTTTGTGGATGTAGGGGTAAAGCGCCGAAATCGTACAATATTAGCTGCAAAATGGTTACCTCCATCTTGTAGGGGATATCTTAGATTCTTAGGATAGTAGGTTGATCAGTCTATGGAAGGAGTCTGTTTGTTGTCTTAACCAGTTTTGACTATTAGTAATATCCGCGAATTTTTCCGCGCATTTGGAAAGTAACCTAGTCTAAGAATGTTATTATTTTTGGTCTCGTAGTGATACTTTTTCTCTTTGAAATTGCAAAAGTAGCCCCAGAGGCCAGTATATTATTGAACTCATGAATGTGTTCAACAAAATCATTTTCAATATTCAATATTGGACTTATGTTAATGTGACTACTAATAAATTATCGGTATTTGAGCCAGTTGGTTTTACTTTTTTATATTACTACCCCGGTCACGTATTGGATGTCTTCACTACTTTCTAATTCCCAACACGGGTTTTATAAAGAGAAGTCAACACTTACATATTTGTTTGGATTTTTTCACATATCTCTAACGTTATCTACACCGAATTCAGTAAAGAATCATAAACTAGACCTTCTGGGGTTTCAACCAAGATTTCTCCAATGGGTTTCCTCGTATCTTTTCTTTTTGCATTAAGATACAATAAATCTTCCTCCCTATACAAAGCGTTTAAAGCTTCTAAATTAACTTACTCTCGCAAGTCGTAGAGGAATGTTAAGCGCATTGTTCGGGGCCAAACTTCTTAACGGATCGATTTGTAGTGCAAGGCTCTGTCTGGGATAAGTTTTAATGTTTCAACTTGTGTATCTAGGCCATTTAGGCCTTTGCTACTAAAGTCATGAGAAACAAATTATGAACTGAAATAACCTTTTCACCAATTGTGTCACAAATTTAATTTTCGTTCCAGCACCTTCGACCTCTCAGATTCACTTTTTAAGATCAAAAAAACTATTCTTGCTTCTCTCAACAATTAAATTAAAAATTCTTTAATTACTAAATTACAGCTGTTGAATAAATATTTTTTCTGTAGCTGTACAGTTTTAAAAATCGAAATTCCCTTTTTTCACGATCAAATGGTTCGAAAAAAACCATAGTGAATTTAGTTTTGAACGAGATGGCAAGATGCGAACAAAATATATAAGATAATAGTTCTTTCTGTTCGGTGACTAGATGATGAAGTTAGGAATGTTGAAGTAATTAGAATATATGTATATATATTATTTATTGTGCAACACAAATTGATTTTGGATTCCTTAAATCTACTAGAAAGCGGTGTCGACCAAATTAGCCGGTGACGATAATGCATTCTTAAGCTTCCGGAAGCGACGACCATGTTCAAAATGAAATATTAGTCGCGTTTAAAAGGGAAAATAAAGCTCTTCCTTGTAATTCATTTAACAGAATCGAAGAAACACGGCAAAATAATTTTTAACTCATTTAAGTCTTCAATCATCCTTCCTGAAATGTAAAATCTAAGAGACAAACTGTTGCAAAGCAAGTTTTACATAAATCTGTACGTGTAAGTCTTCGTATTACCGTTTGACGGCTAAAAGTATATAGAATTTTTAACACAATTACTAAATTAAAATGCCATATAATTGCGAAGTTTGTTAAAATACTTAAGAAAATGCTTAGAAGCAGGACAAATAAACTGTATAACTGAACGGATCAAAATAAACAGCTGTACTACTTGCTGGCCAGTTTTTACTGAGTCCTGTTCGGTGAATTCGTTAGTTAAAGTGCCATTTTCTAGCGTTATCATATAATACTTATAATGCGCATATGTAAAAACATTTGCTATCCCTTTCTCTAAAGGGAATATAAGGAAAATGGAATAGCAATCGCGTGTTTGAAAAACGACACCGATGTATTACCTATCCAGCTATTAAAATACGGTGGTGAGGAACTGATAAGGTGCATTAATCAGCTTCTTTGCAAAATATGGTCCGACGAAAGCATGCCCGACGACTGAAATCCAAGTGTGTGGATCGAGCACAGGTCCATTTAAAATGCGGTTTCACAGTTTGCACCAATTGTCGTTAGATAGCCTCCTTAATATCGCATATAAAGTCCTATCGAACGTTTTGTGTGAAAAAGCTAATTGGACATTATTAGTATAGCTTTAGGCCTGATAAATCGATCACTGACAAGATACTCACTATGCGCCAAATCTTTGTAAAAGACTGATGAAAAGAAGATTGACTCACACCATCTCTTTGTGGATTTTAAAGTAGACTTCGACAGGAGTAGAGCTATCTCCTTGCTCGTTGCTTGTCTGAATTCGGTGCCCCCGTACAACTTATACGGCTATGTAATATGACGCCCCGTCAGGATTTGGAGGTGAATCCTTATCGTGTCATTTCTTTAATTTATTGCTAGAGGAAATCAGCTGTGGAACTGATCGGGGGCAAAACGAAATATCTTCTGTCATCAAAAAACAGTCATCAGCCAGCTCCCATTTCACCATTGACAGTTATAATTTTAATTTTAATTTTGTCCTTCTTGATACCAATATTATTATCAACAACAATGCAGACTTGATATCCAAAGCAAAGTCACCCTTGGCAACATGTGCTTCTTTGGACTGAGTAGTAATGTCCTCTCTTAACGAACGAAGACCAAACTCAACATGACGCTCATGTTCCCGCCCTGTTGCATGGTGTTGAGGCATGAGCGATGACTTGGACGTTGAGAGATTTCGAGAGAAAGGTTTTGCGTAAGTTTTATGGTCCTCTATGAGTTGGGGTCGGTGAATAATTCAGCGAATGATGAGACAGCGGCTACGCTGGCTAGGTCATTTGGTACGTATGGATGAGAATACTCCAGCTTTGAAATTTTCCAATACAGTACCCGACGGTGGAAGCAGTGGAAGAGGAAGATCTCCACTCCGTTGGAAAGGCCAGGTAGAGAAGGTCCTAGCTGTACTTGGTATTTCCGATTGGCTCCAAACTGCGAAAAGATGAACTAAGTGGCACACTTAGATAATATATTTTGAGCTTCAAGGTCGTTTAATTAAAAGCAAAAACCTTTCATATCATTTTTTGCCTCCAACAAATAGTATCGAATTATATCTTTTTCAGGGAGTCTAATTTATTTTCAAACAAGAATACAGATTAAAAACTAGTACACATTGCAATGTTGATAACTCGGCTATATGGTATTGGCATAAGCGGTGTCTAAGCCAGTAAAGAAGAAGATGTGTTACCATTTATAAATTTAATTAATCGTTTTAAATTAACTACCGCGCGCAACCCAATAATTAAAATAAGATGTTTTTGTTCCACTTGGCCTAGAAATTAAAGTGAAATTTAATTTTCAAAGTACATTTTTGCTCACATTGCTAAATTAACCTACGGCCACAAAGGAAAGTTGTTGATTTCGTAATGTAATTTTCGGTATTTGCTTGTAGTTTAAACTTTTGTTTAAAACAACCCTTTTTGGTGATTCACATTTTTTCCTGATATAAAAGTTATAAATAATTCTAGCCCGTGAAACAATTTTTTATTCGCAATAGCTGTAACTTACATGAGATATTTATTACAATGGGAAGTTATAATTATAAATTTTGAGAAACATTCTTAAAATTTTTTTTAATAAAACGATGCATTTTTCCGGAATTTCAACTCCATTCGTTATATCTCGATTAAGGGTATTTTTTTATTACTATATTTTTTATATAAATGGTCATTATAAATGTCTTTCTATTTCTTGACCTTCAGAAATAATTATTTGTGACTTAAATAAGAGTCAAAGTGTTAATAAAATATTGAAATATTGGTCACTGTTATTGCCACCCATCCTACTGCTGACTACCCATACTTACTTGAGCATCTGCAAATTTTTCACAAACGAAATTTTTGTTAGCCCAGTATCAATAAGGAACTTGAGGACTCCTTTGTGTTTCGTGTGGTATACTATGTAAGCAAGGCTTGATAAAATGTAAAATAATAAAATCTATCTATATATCTGTCGTATTGTTGAACCTCGCTTTCCAATTCAATACTAAACAGTCTTGTGTTTTGGTACATTTAAAGTGTTTCACGATCTTGTTACGGAACTATGTATAGTTGGCTTGTTCATATGGTTGGGAGAGTGGTGCGGGACGACTTGTATCGGAATTGAATGTTTCAGTTGTGTGCCATAGGTCTAGTAGCTAAATAGTAGTAAGTAATAACATAATTTATTTGACATATTAATGGTCCTTTGAATGATATACTAATTTTTTTTAACAATAAGCTCCTTTGAAATGCAGAATAAATATTTTTTTATACTTCTCATCATTGAGTTTCGTCAAGAAAACTTAATGATCTCTCAAATTAGGACTTAAAAATTGTAAACAGGAAGCATAAGCTTTCTGTAGTGCTTGGGGATTGGTATGATTATCCTGGAGAGTTGACCGTAGATCAGCTGACGAAAACTATCTATTATATCTATTAGGTACATATAGTTTTTTCTAAATGCACCATTCTTTTGTTAATATCTAACAGACCCGGACTCACGTTATTGAGGCTTTCTGTATCCTGTTCAATTTTTATTTTAATTGATATTGAAAAAATGTTAAAAATCCCTAATTAGGCGTAATCTAATTCGAAATATTAAGTTTTTGATTGCATTATTCTCTGCTCAAAATCTTTTACAAAAATCCCAAAATAAATGCCTCGAAGTAAGCTCGGACATATGTTATTCACAGTAAAGCTGTATGTATAAACTATTTTACAACTAGCGGACTCAAAATAATAACATTGTGCAGTGCGATCTATTTTTGTATTCAATTCATACCAATTTTTGTTTATATGCATATCGCATATGATTCGAGAAAATTGAACTCGATTCCTGGTCACTGGTCCATTTCTGGAGACAAGAGTAATACCTTTAGGAATAATACCAAATATTTTGACCAAATCGAAACGGGGATGTATGTTGACACATATATATTTTTTTCTAATAAATCGGTCCACTTCTCTTAAAAAAGGAAGGAAGGTAAAAAGGGCTATAAATTCGATATTTTTCGAAAAGATCGGTACCTGGGACATCAATATCCAATTAATTGCAGTTTTATTTGAGAAAATGACCTTCCTTGAGAGTGGTTGTTGGTAATTACTCTTGCCTAGCAGTGTATAGTTGCAATTACAAATAAATCCAGTACTGTTCCTCATTGGACGTTCTACTTTAATCTCTTTTAGAAGCTTTACACTTTTATTTGCGAATCGTTTTAAACCCGATATTATCATTATTGTGAACCGATTTTTGGTCGAGCTCTTCCTCTAATTTGTGGTTTACGTTGATTGTAGGCCCTCTCCGAACGGTTTATAGATTTTTATGATGAGCTTTTATTTCATGTCAGAAGACTTATAATTTTTTTGAATTAATTTTCTCCAAATTTTCTCTGCGCTTATCGAACGTCTGTCGTTCTCCTATTGTACATTTGTAAAATAGCGTACTATCACTTTATAATGGCCCAAGAAACTTAATTTATTTAATTTAATTTGTGGTTTACGTTGATTGTAGGCCCTCTCCGAACGGTTTATAGATTTTTATGATGAGCTTTTATTTCATGTCAGAAGACTTATAATTTTTTTGACCTGACTGTTATCAAACTCATAGAGAACCAGACGTCTATGAGCAGCTTAGTGGCAAAGAGCTTACACACAGTAGAGGAGCGTTCCATTAACTTCGGGAAATATTACAATTGCTATAAAAAAACCAAATATTAATAAATAAAATAATTTATTTGCGAAAAAAAGACAACCCTAAAGTTGTTGCATTCATGTGTTCATCAAATTTTGCCTACTTCACTACATGTCTTATGGGTGATTTCGAGAATCAGTTTCCGAGATGATATCGAACGAAGTGCATTGAAATTGTCTAAGAATGAAGAGCGGCATTGGTAAAAATTGTCGTGATTTAAAAATAGATATTGAAGGAGGACCTGTAATATATGTAAAACCATTGCACTGTACGTGTTTGCCGTAGCGGGAATGTTTTCTTTTGCTTATAAAAAATAAATCGGTCAGTGGAGTTTCGTAAAAAAGAAGGCATTTGAATAAATACACACATTATCCAAATAAGATTTCAAAAAAAAAACTTTGGATTAATTCAAAATTATGCCATCGTTATTTTAAATCTCTATTTGTGGCCTGGTGAATAAAATATCAAATAAGTTTAACTTTTTTTTTCAAAAATATTTATTATGCAATATCGCTACCCCGAAACAAATAACAATTGATACTACGGTGATCGGCGTACTTTCAAATTTGCATATTTTTAGAATCGAAATACATATATGTAGTAATAAAAAGTAAAGTACAGCTAAAATGGAAAGTGTAAGTATTTAAGTTTGAGAATATAATTACTATATGCATGGTAATTAGTAATAAGCCACAAAGCAATAAAGTATTTTTATAATTAACAATTATTTTATTTCATAGATTACTTTTTGGAAATTATTTAAAAATATTTATATTTGTTTAAATTAACTGAGTGCGTTGAATAAACTCAAAAACAAAAAAATGCACTTGAATTTCATGCAATTCTATAATTAATTTAAATCTTTCACAAAAGGGAGGAATGAAAAAGAATGTGAAATGGTTGGCTGCAGTAGCCAAATAGGCAATAGTGGCTGCTGCGAGTGTGAAAACATTAGAAACTACACTGCAAATCGGAGGTGAATCTAGACTGAATACCAGTTAAAAGTTTTTCAAGTCGCCTTGTATAAATGTATGCATTTTTTGCATATGACGTGCTATGTATTTCTTGAATAAACCAATGTAAATTAAAATGCACTTACCGTCATATGTGCTAATTTCAAAAACAATTATGACGTACGATGAAAATAGGGTACTAAATGATCTGCATATGATCTTTGATGATCACCAACGAAATGGCGACAGTCTGATAGAAAAATACCAGCCACATACTAGCTCAAAAATATGAGTGGTTTATTTATTTATTGCTAATGTGTGCATGTTTGAGCGAGCATTTGCTTTCAATAAAATGCATTGTAACGTAAAATATCTTGTCAATTCAAAAGTTTCCGTCGTTTCGATTTAAGCATTGGCAAATTGTGATAGTTATTCTGAAATCAGTAGTTTTGAAATTCGTAAAATTTTGGTACTTTTCTACTACTGAAATTTCAGTCACGAGTTTTAAGTAATATATTTTGACTAACATTGTTTAAACTTTCACTGCAGGGAACCTACAACACAGTTTGAATTGACATTGATTCTTATGTCATTACTTTCAAGTCAAAATGCCGCGTTTGTTTGTTTATTGAGCAAGTAAAGAAGTGTTTCATTTAGACTTATATTTATCTTGTAACATGGGTTTCAATCAAATATAGACAGAGGCATTTTCATCTAGATCTGTTTGCAAAATGATGCCTAATCTGGTTGGTTCATCTGCTTTACGTTTACCCCCTATCTTTGATAAGGTCTTAAGGGACTATATTGATTTCAATTCAACTATCTGTAAGTATATTTATTGTTGTAAGGTTTCTCTTTGTTCGAACTAGAAAAGAAATTATTATCCAAATTGGTTTTCGGGAAATATTGCCACAGTTCTTGACCGGAAAAAATCAGGGTCGGTACGGTAGAAAACCCAACTGGCATAGTTTTTCCTCTTTAGTTGCAATAATCTCCTCATGAAAAACACTAGAGTGATCTGGTAATCAGAAACTCTTCAGAAATCAAACTTTATATTGGATCCTTACGTATAAATACTTATCTCCGAGTTTTTGTCTATCTCATCCCCTATCCCACTTCTCTTTGGTGTGGAAGGTAATATTAGGGACGATTTTTCAATCTCTACGTTGTTGTAGCTCATAGGAATACGATTTATCAGCTCGAGCACATGCCCTTGTCATTTCATTTTCCTGAATTAATCCTGAAATAACCGTAGTCCGAGAATTAAGGAGTGAAGCAAGAAATAGCCCGAGATGTGTGGGTATGAACAGTTTGAGAAGCTGGTCGACAAAAAGTAATGCCCGGAAATTCTATGAAAAAGTACGGCGGCTTACAGAAGGTTAGAAGATCGTAGCAAACTCTTCGAGTGACTGAGTATACTAAATTTATGGATTATTCAATCGATGATAATGGAACAAATGTTTCATTTCCTGAGTCTAAAGAAGTTCGAATAGTAATCAACCGCTTGCAAAGCGGTGAGGGTTGATATATTACCAGTCGAGCTAAAAACTGATATGGTGCATACACCAGCTTTTTTGCAAAGTATGGTCGAATGAAAGGATGCACGACAATTGGAATCTAAATGTGCTCTGCCTACTTCACAAAAAGGGCGATTCCACAGACTACGCTTTTTATTATTATAGGATAATCCTCTTTAAGGTGTTATCGAGTTTATTTTGTGAAAGACTAAAGCCTATTGTCAACAATCTGTATGGACCTCATCAGGGTGGCTTTAGACCCGTGAAAAGAGGATCGACACATCCCACATCTTCGTCGATTTTAAAGCGAAAAGGAGTTGCCTCTACGCCCCTATGTCTGACTTTAATATTCCCGCAAAGCTTATACGGCAATGTAATCTGATGTTAAGTACCACTAAAAGCTCCGTCAGGATCTGGAAAGACCTCTCCGAGCCGTTCTATACCAAACGAGGTTTCAGGCAAGGTGATTCCTTATCGTGTGGCTGCCGATGCAGAGCTGAATAGACAGGGTAGAATATTTTATAAGAGTACAGCTTCTAGCCTACGCCGATGATATTGACATTATTGGCCTCAACAACCGCGCCGTGAGTTCTGCTCTCCCAGATCGGATAATGAAGCGAAGGATATGGTTCTGGTAGTGAACGGGGCCAAGAAGACAATAGTAATCGTATTCCCGACTCGGTGCCCACGTTTCTACTAACAGTCATAAATTTGAAGCCGTAGATAACTTTATCTATTTCGGACCACCAACAACAATGTGATGGAAGCAGAGGAAGACCTAGTAGAGTAGAGGCTGGTTGTACTTGGAATTAATGACATGAATGACTATTATCGCGCAAGCGGTGTCTTTACCAGTATATAAGAAGAAGAAGGAAAAAACAACTTTCCTACTCTTTGACTAGCTAGAGCTTATTTCCGCCTGACAACCAGCTTACAGTTGCCGCCCCTTGGTTAATGTAATTATTTATTAGGTGTATGCATTAACTCGTGCGGTTTTTTAAGAGAGGGCTCTACTAATATTACTTCGCGTCGTGTTCATCTGTGGCTATATTCATTTCAAAGGTACTATCATTTCGCGTCGTTTTCAGTAGATGTCATTTGTTTAGCGTGAACAACAATTTGTTTCATTCATTTGAAAATGTCGAAATTTGTATCCGGTAACATGAAAAAAAGTGCTACCGAAAGCCATCGTGTTTTGCTGGAAATTTATGATGACCATGCTTTAGTCGAACGAACGTGCCAAAAATTGTTTCCACGGTTTAAAAGTGACATTTTTCGAAAATTTCAAGACGAAGAATTGGAAACATAGCTCGACGCAGATGCATGCCAGACGCAAGAAGAACTTGAAAAGGTATTAGGAGTTGATGAAGCTACCGTTTCCAGACGATTAAAATCATTTTTTCACAATAAAGTATTAATTTTCACGTAGGTATAATTGTTTTTCAGAATTGCAAATTCTTTAAAATTTAAATAATACCGCGGTTAGCGACTAGTAAGTGAAACAACAGTTTTTTAAACATTGAAATTATTTTTTAATTTCTGTTTGCATAGACTTGTAATGGGATGTAGTCGTGCACAGAACGGAACACAATGTCGTGAACTGTTACTTAGAAATCTATTACATATTAAATATAATATATTCAAATTGTAAAGATAAACGCGGCGGGACGGTGTATCGTAAGGATCTGTAGATTAGATTTTAGATTCTTACGTCTTTTTACGGGAATTTGACATCCCAGTTTGTTGCTTGTATGATTTGCAAATACAAACGGGAATTAAAACATCATTTTCGGTACTCATATCATTAAATAACTTTGGATTTTTGACCGAATAACTAAATTCATGTTAGCTATGCTAAAAAGAAACAAATACAAATTCCAAAATTGCCGATTTTGGAACGAAACGTACTGTGATAACTGGCTTACGATTTTCACCGCCTCGATTCTGTTCCGTTGCGCCGTTATGACCTACCCTTTACTCTTGTGACCATCCCTTGTGCATGATGCGGTAACCAAGCCGCGGGGAACCATGAATTACGCCCAAAAGATAGAAGTCTTCAGTGGCGCCACTCCGAATTATTTATTTATTTATTTATATATTTGTTGAAACACATAGCTTGAATTTAATTTTTAATATCTTACAATAAAACATAATAATAACATCTTTAACGCTGCCGTTTTCTCTCTAAACATGTTAATAATGTTAAGAGTTAGGGTTTTTATTCAAGAAAAAGTAGTATTTTCAATATTTGAAATATAATAGTAAGCGTGCAGATTATCAATTATTAGATTAAGCAAAGTGATGTAGTAGTTCAGGCAATTGTATATCATGCTAAGTAAGTTGATTGAAAGGGTAGATCTAGTGAATTGAACTCGTTGTAAAAGATATTTGGTACCCTGAGAGCTAGTAACTTTGTGAAGTAACATTAGGCACTTTAACTTCGTCGAATTTAATGGAAAATAATTTTAAAGCAAAAGTACTTATGTGCTCACGACGATTTACACCATATACATATCTGGCGATGTTATTGTAGAGGACATTGAATTGACTACAGCACAGGCTGTCACAGCTGGCAAACAGTTCGCAACCATACAGTAAGGTCGGTGACAAGAAAGTTTTTGCTAATAGCAATCGAATTTTTAATGGTGTGAAATGCTAAATAGTCCATAAAGCACGAAGCATGCCATAAACCCCACCTATTGAGCTATAAATGTCTTTATTCCAATACAAAGTTCTATTGAATATTATTGCTAGATTTCTGGCAGTATCCATTAACTTAACAGAGTTATTCAGTTTCACTTCATTGTAGCCTACACGTTTGATAGGCCTTTTATAAATTTATTGAGGTCATTAGTGAAATCATTGACGGAGTCAAAAGGGCAACTGTCATATAATTGAACATAATTTGCGTATAAATGAATCTCACAGTATTTTAAAAGACTTTGAAAGTCGTTAACATATAAAACAAAATACATAGGCCCAAGAATAGATCCTCGAGGAACGGCTTTAGTTACGTATAAATGGTTCGATATAACGTCACCTAAACATACATCTTGCGAACGATCACTTAGATATGATGAGAAATGAAATAAATTGCTGAGTTTCAAAGCTAGCAGCTCATGGTCCACAGTATCAAAAGCTTTGAACTGATTCAAAAGTGTTAAT